CTCACCTTCTGATTGTGGATACGAGCTTCCTCGAAATTGTGGATGAAGTGACAACGCGGTCCATATGGGCAAAAGCCAATCGTGTGGAAGGTGCGGCATAGCTCGGTCTTGTACTTTGGATGACGTGCCAGGTTGCGCAACTCGCCATATCCATGCGCAAACTGGCATTTATCGCCGTACTTACACGAGCCACTCTCCTCATATGGCCGGCAGAGCTCTGTCTTGTAGCGCGATGTCGGTTCGCTCACGCTACGGTCCAGTTTTCGATGTTGCTCGATTAATGTGGTCATCAAGGAGGTGTAGCTGCGTTTCAGAGGCGCGTGTCCATTGCCGACGTTGTTACCGCCGGCAGTGCCGCCATTCGTGGTGCTCGTCGTCGTTGAAGATGACGGAGGATCCTTCGTCTTAGTCGAGGCTGCATTCTGTAATCAGAAAGAAAACAAAGCGCGTTCAGTTAACCGTACGATTCCGAAATTGCAGTTATTCACGCGCGACACCGCGGTGATAGACGCGTTATCGGGGTGAACGACGCGACGAGAGATTGTCGCGCGGGTAATTTGATCTTAAAATGGCTGCGCGGATGATAACTGAGACTTGGCAATTTGGCGATGTCATCGTGACGGCAAGATAGCGTGTCGAATAGACCGGCAGTGGACTGTCGCTGACACGGTCGTTCGTTTCAATGGGAACTCAAATAATATGTCGTTTGCTAGAAAACGGAAGGTAGACGTTGCGACAGAGACTTATGCGAGTGGTAGATGAACTTTGAGAAGATTCGAAAGTGCTGAAAGTTCATAATTATACCTAATTGTAAGTGTAACGCTTTAACTCGACTTTCACTTTATTTTTCAAGAAGTTTCTCATGCATATCAATATTTGAACTTGCACGATTACATTAAATTAAACTAAACTGATGTGCTTAATCCAATAGAATTTATTACTGATTTTATAATAAGTATAATTTGTTAATTTATGCAATGTTATTCTTATTATATTACGTAAATATTACTTTCGATAACTCACAATATTAATATGATTGCATAAAATTTAAACATTTTTCAAAAATTATTATTGTTAAAGATTAATTTAACCAAATGGCGTTAATTGATATTTATAAAAGTAACCGTATACAATATTTTATATAAAATTTAATGTAATACAATGTCGCCAACAATCTTGACTCTGATATTATCAATTAAAATAACGAATATTTTTATCGAGCAAACACGTTACACAGTTCAACGCACTAAAATGGACTTATAGCACAGACATATCAATCAGCCTCAATAAGATCTCATTTATAGCCCTTATCTCTCCTCAGCATAATCAATAGATAATAGAAAACAGAAAATAAAGAGTTAGATAAAACCATAGTGTATCTTGAGTGATACCACTTCAACTACTATTGCAACAATTAGTTCCACAAAGTTATTGTTTAACCCAGATCTCTCTTCCACCGTATAGACAATATTTTTCTTAACTTTAATAAAAATGAAGATAATCATCAGATTCTAGATGTAAAGAACGATAAGACTGTTAAAAAATAATAAATCACGATAACTGAAACGCGAGCAGAAGCCATTTATGATCTTTCAAATCAAAGTAAACATTTTGTTTATCATACTGAATAAAAATTTGATGATTCTTTTGCAAGAATTTTTCTGAATTTTTACTCGAATCAATATTCTTACTTTCAAACCGGTTAAGTGAAAACTACTATAATATACTGTTCAGTATAATAAAGCATTTCAATTTTTAACTATTTTTCAATTCCAACGAATATACGTCCCACAAACTATATATTATTTATGCACGGTATGCAAGAGATCCGGGTTCAAGTCCCGGCCGAGGTAATATTTTTCGCAATAAATTTATTAACAGTTTTAATATACTAACATCTTTATAATATATGACGCTTGATAGTAGCATCAAATTATTAAATTGCTTGTCAATTTAATTCGCGATATTACTAGAGTAGTTTTAATTGCGTTTATTTAGTCCAGAAAAACAATTCGGCGCGCAGTTAGAAAAAGATTACAATATGGTATATATGCAAGTACATATATAGTATATATTAGTAATTCAAGATTGAATTATTTTAAAACAACGAAGATCCAGCTTCGATCGTAATAGGCATTTAAATTTCTAGTATATATTATTTTTCATATAATTTTGGAAAAAAATGAAGGATACGATAAAAGACCGTTTGCGGTTAAAAAGTAAGAACATTTTTAATAAAGAGCTAATCTAATTCTGATACGATGTGTTTCGCTATTAAGGGAATATCATCGCGATATGTATATGCGTCTAAAATACGAAGTGCATATGAATATCACATTGAAGCGATTCATTCATTATACTGTCAACTAATTCGATACGGTCTTTCATAAAGATTGATGCACAAGGAACACAAGTAGGGTTCTAGCACTCTACTTCCTCGAACCACGTGTAGTTTCTCTTGGTGACTACAATTCCTATTATTGTCGAGCAACTACACGCTTCTAGAAGTCATGTTTCATTAGACTTGATTCATTACACGAGATGTATCTCTTTGAAAAAAAAATTATTATCATAAATTATGTGGCGCCAACTTTATGTGAATGTTTAAGGCGCTTTTAGAATTTACGCGATGTATTTTAAGAACTTTGAAATTTTTCTCAATACGCATTCAGAAAAATTAAGCAAAATTTTAAAATAAATCACACTAAAATTACATTTTAGATAAAAAATAACTGAATACTAAAAATAGCAAGTAGATACGTGTGGAAAATTTCAGAATATTACTATGTAACTATCAGTAGCATGAGTATTCATATGTTAATGAATAATGTTCTTTTTCAACATTTACGCAATGTTGCGAGCTGATGATACGATAAGTCACGTAAAGTATGTGAGTACAATAATCACATGTAGCCTGACTAAAAAATAACTTGAGCGAGACGTGACGCATATAAAAAAACTATGTAGCGATAAATAACCAATCCAATATATCGACGTCAGAGCACCAAGATTCATAAATTTTTTTAAGAGTTCTTTGTAAAAGGAATCTATCTCAAAAAAACATCTGCGTAGGAACGCAAATTTTGTATTACTTAATCAACATTAATCATAAAAAAACGAATATAATATCTTCCACGCCTTATTTTTTATAAGCAATAATTGCATTGATTATTTTACCGCATATAATATTAACCATTTTAGAACATCTAGATATTATCGTGAAGATATTATCATCGTAGATCGATCCCACCAACTAAGTTTTCAATCTTATTTATATCGCGCAATCGATAGATGAGATTATCAAGATTTTATTATATTATATTAAGGATCAGAGATCAGAGATTTTGAGGACGGTAATTTTGAGGACGGTAATCCTTTTAGCCCGTACTTTAATATAGAAGACAATGAAAACGGGACTTTAATAGTGAATTATCTCAGAAAAATCGAACGAGTAGTCATAGAGTGTAGAGTCTATTAAATTTTTAACACGGTTTTGTATACTATCAGATTTTATAATAGGTTATTAATTCGATGAAAAACGATTAGATTCCTATAGCCTTCTGTGAAGATGTAAGTTCTTATAGTCTGTCGCAATATTCGCTGATTATTGGTAATAAATTGCAAAAGCTGAGCAAACTGAATTTGCAAAAAACGGACAGATATCATCACTGAAAAGAATTATTTATAACATATCTTTTATGTAATGGATTATTTAAATATATGGCGAATTTATATCACACACATATGTGTTATCTTTAAAAATAGAATGAGAACGTCTTACAATACTATTGATAATATTGTCTGTCAGCTCCATGATTTTTCTTAGATTTTGCTATTTACTGCAATAATGCAATCTATTGGCAATAAACGGCGAATATTGCGACAAACTATAAGATATCGTTATCGCGTAACTTCCTTCTATTTTGTCTCGTCGCAGATGACATGGTACTAATTATCAGTTACGCGCTCGATGACGTATGGAGAAAAAATTCGACGTTTTCCCGAGCGTGAGATCGCTACACGCGGGAAGATTCACGAGAGCCTGGAAATTTCCACCAGCACGTGCGCATACGTGCCAGAGCGAATTTGTTTGTTTCATTTGTCGGTATACGCGAGCGCAGAGCACACACTCATGCACGCGCGCAGAAGTAACTGCACACAACTACTACTTGTCGTAATTATTCCCACGTAGCCTCCGCATGTTAAAGTATGCGTTTATCGTAAGAGCACGATCGTCGGTAATCGTTCACACGCATATACGCGCGCCTATTTTATCGTTCGCGCGCGCGAGTATGAGTACGCGATTACGAGTACGCATAAATCTTCGCGTCGCACGCACATACGTACACCGACAAGAATATATCGCGTATCTAATCACGCCGATTCGCGCGCTCTCCGGAAGAATATTATCTATTTTTGATATTCTCGTAGCGATGTTAAGGCGGATTCATCCTACGGAATCGTTCTGGAGCGATCGTTGTTGCAAAAGTATAGAGGAGATTCATACTAATCATGAATGGCTACGTTTTCAATAAAATAGTAGCCTTGCACCTGTTGTGAGATTTCTTTAATGTAATTGGTTTATACGTTTAAATCCAGGAACTAAGGGCAACCAGAATCAAGAATCTTACAACATTCGTTGCAAAACTACTTTTTCTGTTAAACACAACCAACTTGTATTGGTTTTTATTTTTAAAATATTAAGAATGTTACATTTCTTTAAGAGAAATTAAAGTTGGCAAAGAAATTATTCTTATTTATGATTGTTACGCTCTAAATAATTATGTATTTTACTTGACAGCCATAATAATTTAAAACTGTGTTAAAATCAAACAGTCAGGAAATGATTATTTTTAATCGTGCAATTCATGCTACTTGCTTCTAGATAATTACCTATTAATATTAGACAATATAGTTAAACAGTTTTTTAATTTTTTTATACTTTGACGAAAAGTCCTTTATTCAAAATAAAATATTATTTTTCATAAATTTGTGATTTCTAAAACAGGTAATTAAATCTTTTAAAATATCTTATATAACTTTTTTACGTACATAAAAAAATATAAAATGTCTAGATTAATATTCTTTATTAAAATAAAAAGAAAAAGATACATTCTAAAATCTTTTTCCGGAAATAGATTCTGTTTGCCAGTTAAAGTACCGTATATATATTTCTAGCACAGACTTTTCACTGTGTATGTTCCACAGCGCATATAGTGAGAGGAAGTACTGCCTACATCGGTAAGAGAAAAAATAAACCGGTTGGATTTTCTTCGTAGATGTTACGATCCTACGAAGCCGACGACGTATGGTTATGAGCGGCGTTTCCTCCACCGTCGTCGATGAATCACTATAATAGGCTAACCCGTCCCGAAAAAGCATGGCGTAAACTGTGTTTTCAATTATTCCAAGGCGAACGTGC